CTGAGGACTCGCTTGTCAGGTGAAACACTCCCTCTGAGTCCTGCGTGTCCTCCACAGTGTAGTTTCCCATCAGGCCTTGTGGAGACATTTAGCAAGCCTGCTAGGGAGCAAGGTATTCCTGCGGCAGACAAGGTCCACTTGGGCCAGGAATGGTCCCCCGGGTAGCGCCAGCTGTGGAATGTGCGCCCCGCCAGGCTTCTGTTATGTTCTCTGCAATGAGTAGCCTGAACACGTAGGCACTGATCCTGTAGAATGCTGTCAGAGTCCTTCCAGGCTCCACGCTGTGAAGACAGGACTGCATCTGTATGTATGTTGCTGCTAAATACGGCGGCATGCTCAAAGAGAATCCACGGACGTCAAGGCTGCGTTTTAGGGTCCGTGAGTGTGTAAAAGCCCTCACTGAAACCCAGGCTTCTGCTACCTTCCAACTGCTCAGCAACGTGTTGGGGACTGTTTGTTCCTTCTGCCCTGCGTTTGGGAACGAGGTCGGCAGGTGATGCCATTGCAGGGTTTCGTCTCCACAGTAACTGCTGCTGGCAGCTTGAGTAGTTCCCCAGGCAGAAAACCTTACGCAAATATTTCTTTTTAGGAACTTAAATTTCAGCACAGTTTACTACCATCTTCTAAAAAATCTCAAATCTGTGCACTTTTTTCATGGTCTTTACACACAAAAGAAGTAAAAATACCAGCAAAAATTGGAATTTTTTCTTTTTAAGTAACTGTATATATTGAAGCTTTAGAAGTTGGGTAGAATCTTATGTAAACTCTTGATGATTCAGGTTGATACACTGCATTTGTCCTGAAATATGAACTTGTCAGCTGTTATGTCAGCCGGTAATTTAGCCACTATTACAAGGCTTTAACAACCTGTTCTTTTAATTTTCCGAATAAACAAGATCCTGACTCAGCAGATAGCATTTCTGCCCGGCATTGTTTTATCCGTGTAGCAGCTTTATGACAATGATTCCTTCAGCTCTTTACTGGCAACAAGACAAGTTCACTGTAGTTAAATATCTTCCATGATGTGGTCATTTGCAAACCTGAGCATCTCTGATTTTGTACAGTGGTATAAAAGCCACTAATGCCTCAGCCCCTCTCATTTCATGAGTGTCAGCTTTTCCTGGCTTCGTGTGGATCTCCAGGGCGTGGAGAGAAGAGACAAGATTTCCATTTTCACCCATAGTGCTACGAAGCCTCTGGCTACCGCTCAGCAGATTTTTATTTCCATGTGTGTGTGCTTACAGCTGTGACTCAGAGCTTCCAAGAGAGGAACGCTTTTTGTGATGGTGCCTATTAGCAAGTTGCCTCCTCCGGTTGCTATAATTAATTCAATGCTTCCTTCCCTTTAAAGCTGACCAGATAAACTATAACCTGCCAGTTTGCTTTCTCTGATAAAAGCTTTTCATTTTTCTTTTAACTTTCCTTGCTCCTTCAAATCAGCTTTGCTTTCTTCCTGCTTTCAGGGCTGTGTACCTGGACCTAAGACTATTACATGGTCTGGAGGCTTTGAACATCAGCCCTGTGATCGGCTGGCAGCGCAGGTCAATTTCTACTTTGTTCCAGTGGTGCTTTCCTGTCTGGTCTGCAAAAAGTGTCTGCCAACTCATTTTTCCCTTCTTATCAGCAAAACACATATACACTGCGCTTGTGTTGCTCAATATAAAACAGGGAAAATCCCTGAACACTCAGAAGACCCGTTAGAAAGCCTGCCCAGGCTCTTGCTCTTATCCTAAAGCACTCTCTTCTGTTAGCCATCAAACAAGCAAGCAAATCGAGACCGTGCTGATTTTATACATATCAGACCCCGCAAATTATTGGGCCTTGAGTATGGTCTTCTTCAAACAAAGAATATTTATCACAAGCTCAGCTCCAGGCACTCATTTCCCCTCCCAACAGTCCCCAGCCCCAAAGCGACCTCGTGCCCGATAGCCTTGGAGGACAGGGGTGCGCACGTGGGAGAAATTCTGGCCCAAGCCACGGGGGTCCGATCACCTTGCAAACACTTACCTAATATAGAATCATAAGGTCTTCCTGCTAACCACAAAGAGAACTATTTAATACCCCCAAATGTTACACATTCCGTAGCCGTAGGTTTGGTCACTTATTTTTTTCAGTGAGCAACAACATCTTCTATTTTCTATAAATATCCAGAAGGAAAAATTTGGAAGAAGGAAAAGGTTATGTTAGTGTAACCTTGCTCTTAGAACTTCGAGTTTTGTTGCAGAATTGTGAGAGGATTCAAACGTATAAAACATGGGACTCTTTCTTTTACTCAACGTTGTTTCCTTTTCAGTCTTGCTTTGCCTCTGGTGTTTGTTGACGTTTGAGACGGAGAACGCAAAGGGGAAGCGAGAGGGAAGGCGTGGGCAGCTCCCTGGCTGCTCGCTGCGCTGTGCATCCAGCCTGCGGAGACGCAGGGCTGCAGCAGCTACATGTGCGCGCTGTGCTGGTGCGGAGCCCATGCAAGCTCACAGGGGCGGAGCCTGGCCAAGGCTGTGCGGAGCCAAAAGCTGGTTCTGCCGTGCATTGGCTCCGGGCTCTTCTGCGAGTGACTTCGCCACTCTCCTAATCTGTGAACTAAATTATGGAGCATTTCTTCCCACAGTGCGGGGAAGTCCAGCCAGTTCAGTGTTTCTCGCCTCCCACAGCAGTGCCTGTCGTCCAGGAGGCCCTCCGAGGTTACTGCTCTCGCCCTGCTAGCTCCTATAATCCATTGGCGTGGAGAGCATGCGAGCCACGTGGAAACATATGATACATATTTTTCGTGCCATGCAGTTGCAGAAGATGAAGGATAAAAATATAATTAGCCATAAAAACTGGCATTCGGACTAACGTTACCAATAACAAATGCTTGGGGTCTTTGCGCCTCCCCCACGAGCTCTCCTAGAGCTTCCATTTCTTTCAATTTTTATTCACAATTTTTTTTCAACTCACGCTTCACGTCCCTTGAGTCAACATTGAAAACCTGCAGTGACTGCTTCTGTGCCAGCCTGGAGCTCCCGTGGAAGGGCACGGCTGGAAGCAAACAGGATGCGCAGACTGGGACACGTGGGAGTGCCGGCCCTGGGCAACTTGTTTCTAGTAGACCCTTTTGGTTTGCTTAAAACTTTGTGGGGGTACAGACCACAGTAAGGACCTGCAGGCCTGCCAGTAAAAATGGTGCAGGCAGCACAACAAGATGTCCATTCCGCTGAACCTCAGCTAGGACGAAATTCTACCGCAGGAAACATAGTAGCTTCTCACCGCAGCTCGCGCTCCGCCGGACAGTCCCGTAAGAAGCAAAAGGAAGTCCTAAGTGCAGAGTCTAGTGACCCGAGTCCTGGCCCCAGGTCCAAGGCACGGGAAGACCCAGGACGAGCCCCTCCTCCTCCTTAGGACCACAGGTGTGCAGTCTACAAAATGGGTATAATGATGCCTTCTTCAGTGTGTGGCAGGCAAGATTTTTCTGAAAGCAAAATATTACTATCTGGGCAAACTATATGAAAACATAAAATTTGAAGATACCATGATGGAGCTCAAGGTCTAAGAGGATAACAGTGCAAAACAAAAGGAAAAGGCCATTGGGAACCTAAAGACATAAAAGATTTAAACAAACAGATATGAAAACAAGTATGTAACTTTATTGTTTATCGTTGAGATAAAGCTTGACTCATTGAAGGCCAGAGCAATGAAGGGCTAGTATCTACTTAAACTACTAATTTAAAATATTATGTTTAAATTTATTAATTTAAAATTTTGGGTTTCATGTCTATAGCAGCACAATTGGTCATAGCTAAAACTTGGAAACAACCCAAATGCTGGTCAACCAAGAAATGGGTAAAAGGATGTTGTGTTTTTACACAGTGAACTACTACTCAGTTATAAAGGATAAATTTGAGCCTTTTATAGGTAAATAGATGCAACTAGAGACTATACTCATAGGTAAAATCAGACTCACAATTGTAAACATCATATTGTCTCCCTAGGTAAGAAACAAAGAGTAAATAAAATTCAAAAGGTACAATAGGTACTGTGAAATGGAAAGAAACTGCTCAAAAGGAAAGAACAACTGGGATGAGGGAAAGAAGAAAAAAGGAAGAGAAAAAAAAATATATAGGGGGCCGGGGAGATAGCTCAGTAGAATAAGTGCTTGCCTGGCAAGCACAAGGGCCTGAGTTCAATCCCTGGTTCTGGAAAAAAAAAAAAAAAAAAAAAAAAATATATATATATATATATATATATATAATAGCTAAGATAATTGTACTGCTAATTTCGTTTAGTTCATTGAAAAGAATGATTTGTGCTTATATTGTTTGGTCGATTTTGCATCCCTATATTTTGTACATGGAGCAATCGCTTTGGCGATAACAATACACAATATATTAACCATTGTTGATTTCCTAAAATCTTGTTTTGAAATTCTGTACCATTGCTTGTATTGCTTTTACTCTTTAAAATAACTTTAAAATTTGGGATGTATGTATTGGTATTAATGCACAAAGATTTTCGTAGAACTTGACCTATCTTAAACTGTGGAAGGTATTACATCTTCACAATATGGAAGACCTTGAACATGTCACTGACTTATGGCCACCTGTAACCGTAGGGAAAAATCTGTGTCACTCCTGCTAGCATATTCTGCTCAGACCTAGTTGCCCTGTGTGTGGTGATGACGTGCTCCATTAGGTTCACCTATAGCACATGCTTTGGTCAGAAGAACAAGGACGTGCTGTGGTGCCATTTACCACAGGTCAGGCTCTCGTAAACCAGGAGGACCTGCTAGGACTCTGAGGTTACAAGTAGGTGGTGTAGGACCACCACTCTTGGACTAGTGAAATTCTGCCCTTTGGGGAGTCTGATTATAAAAGAATATTTTTATGCTTGTACATTCTAATAGCAAGCCCATGGCTTTTGTTGGGTTCTGAAAAGATGAAGAACCAGTTCTTATACATGGAGTAAGTGAAATGCAGATGGATGAAAGTTCGAGCACTTAATGAGCAGAGTTTTGCTTCTTGCTTTAGGTGTTGAAGTTTGAGCCTGGCCGTTTCAAAAGGCGGGGCAAAGCTAAGACCATGGCGCTGGCGGACATCCAGCTGGACCACCATGAGCGCTGCGACTGTGTCTGTGGCTCAAGGCCGCCTCGGTAGAGGACAACACACACTTCGTGAGACCTGGAGGAGACTTCAGTTGAGGCGGATGTAGCAAGGGACCTTCCCCGGGGACTGAACTTCCTGCTGCACCAACATGCAGTGCAATGAATGCAAGTGGGGCCTGCCCAGCTCTGCTAGTGCCGTGGCCTAGAGAGGCGCTTCGGCTTCTGTATCCAACAATATAGGCTCACATTTAATGGCAGTATATGAAGATATATGTGTATGCACACAGGTGCATCTATATCTATATGTATGTCTAGGATTAAATAAAGGGGCCGTTCAGCATAAATAACCAGGTATGGCAGAGCTTGTATGCGGCTGAATCATTTAGACCTTAATATGCTGCCAAAATAAGGAATGTATCAAATGTATGAATCATGTCTTCAGGAAATTCAAAAGAGGAATTTATTTTTAAACTTTGAATCATAAACTATTTTGAGTCTTACTCTCTTTAAAAAAAACATTTTTACATGAAAAACTAGGAGATGAGCTTTGCTTATGTATATGCCTTAGTTATAACATACAAAATCTGTGGTTTCTGAGAAAAAGGTAAATACCTAGCGGCTTTGCTCGTGAGGCGCACTGCACACGTAGCAGTGGGGCCCGTGACAGCTTCTTCCCAAACCAGGCCAAAATGAGGCAAGAGCGTTAGACACTGTGTCATTAAGTTGTTGTCTGATGCATTTTACTGCAGAATTCTATTTCATTTAATACCTATTTCCAAAAAAAAAAAAAAAAAAAAACCCTTTAGAGGGATCATAATAATCCATTAAGGTGAACTGTAGTAGAACTTCTCATGTTTTTCTTTTTTTCTGTCCCAAAACTCCTCCATAAAAGCAAATCATTTCAGAAATGGCATGGGTATTGTATGCGACCCTCTTAAAATGGTGCTCTTTGAAAGATTTGGGCAGTTGAAAGTAAAAAACAGAAGCATTAAAATGTAGACATAACTGGAAATTAGATGGATTACTATATAGAATCCGTGTTTAGCAACAGATTAGAATTCTATAAACTGTTTTAATAATTTTGAGTATTTGCCCTTTGTGTTCCTGTCTCTTCAATGCACGTGCACACACACACACACACACACACACACACACACATATTTCCAATAGCATTTTAAATTTAGCATGCTACCATAGATTATTTGTAGCCTAAAACCTCCTTACATTAATGAAGCTACCAGTGCTGGTTGGTGTAGGTCCCTAATCACATACCCCATCACCATCCTCAATTCCTCTTTCTGAGCCAGGTGAAACTGCATCTGGGTCTCTTATTTGTTCCAAATCTGTGAAAGGCATTCTAAGGATTCAACTGTGAGTTATGGGCACCTAATTGGACCACTGTCTCACTAGAAGTTGTTCTGCACTGGCTATTGGTATTTAAAGTAAACTTCCCTCCCTGGCTCCTCCGTGTCTGTTTTGAGGAGACTGACCCCAGGAGCAGGGAGTGACGCATCACGCCCTGAAGCCAGACGTGCACAAGGGAACTTCGAAATCCGGGTAGCTCAGGCTGCTCACAAGCAGCTGCATTTTCTTTCCTACCTTGAGAGGAAAAAGGAGAGCTAGCTTCTTCCCCCAGGGCTGTCCTGACCACAGCCAGTTGGTCCAAAGGGTGTGCATCAGGATAGCAAGGGCGAGTGCTGTCCAAGGAGCGGCCGCCCCACAACTGCCTTGCTGAGAGTGATGGTCTCACATCCACACCCTAAACTGTCCTGAGGTGGATTATTTCTTCTCAGAACTTTGAGCTGAATGATGTACTCCTACTGGTGATAGACCTTCTAAAATTTCTCTGGGAGTATGCAGTACTTTTACTCAGGGACTGAGTAGTAAAATTAAACATTTGCTTGTCCAGTCCCACACAGAAGAGCCACACAGGAACTAGTCATCAGGAAGCCCCCTTCCCCCTCGCGACCACTTGAGAGCTTCCTGTGAAAACATTGGCTTCCTGTGCCCAAGCCAAACTGCATATTGTATCACTCAATCTTGCTGTGCAGCTCAGATCGTAGCTGTAAGTGTGAAAAATTAGAGTGTTCTATCCAGTTTTTAGCAGATCTTCCAAGCTCCAGTAATCAGGGTGGTTTTCATTTAAAGCTCTATCTATATTTTATATTTATTAGCTAACATGTAAACAGATATAGTCACTCACGTTTTGTTTACTTCCCTGAATGTTTTATCGAAACCTCTCTTGGTTATCTGTTATCTCTGGTATTTCTAACACCAGCCAATAAATCAGTTCCATCACCATCAAAGAAAAAGCCCAGTGTACAAATTACATTTCAAAACTTATTCAAATAACTCCATATTTCTGTATGGTTCATTCACCTGAAATAACGCCTTTCATCTCATATATTCTTATAGGGCAGAATACTTTCATGAGTAGAGTTTTTATGTGTTTTTGTCATACTGGAAACAGCTTTGCCTTCTCATAGTCTTTTCTATGGCAAGTGTAATATGCCTCTTCGTGGAAAATAAATATGGCTTTTGAACAAAACTACTCCATTATTTAGTACTAACTTGCAGTTATAAAAGCTCTACAGCATTGCAAACACACTTTCACAAATGCATATGACTCCAGTGACAAGACTGGGTGATTTCTGAGGGTTCCATTTTATCCTGGCCGAAAGAGCGCACACCTTCTCCCAGGTCACAAGCTGCTACCGTGTCCCCGTCACGAAGCCTTGGAGTTGTGTTGGGTTTTATCATCTGGCGGCGGCTGCTGTTGACTCCTCCTGGGGCCTCTTCCCCCACAGCCCTTCTAACGAACTACCTTCTCCTCTAGCTCTACCTAAGACATTTTCTATCCTCTCTCTTTCTAGGAGACGGAAATGCCCAACAGTACAGCCACTTTTTCCCTCTCTCTTGTCTCCTCCAGGTCTTCACCCCAGCGGGAGGGTCAAGAACACCAGCAAAGGGAAACAAGTGCGCAGCTCCGCTCCGTAGCGCTTGCTACACAGCGAGTGAAGGAGCTCAGAGCTCTTGCATTGCTCCTCTGGGAGCAGAGAACTCTTTTAGTTGCAAGAATTTTGCCACTGTTTTTAGTTTAGTCTTTATTAACATCCCATGGGAGACAGGAACACAGCCGTAGAACGTTCAGGTAAACTGCAACTTTAGTGCTTTTAGGTTGTTTGGAGACTATGAGTATAAATTTATGTCTTCTCCTGTAAGAATTGGTTTTGGCTTCAAAGTATTAACCTGTGAATCAGTGTGGGGGGTGGGGAGCAGGATTGTACACTTCTGTGCATGAGGTAGTTCACGTTGGGATTTTATGTGAAAATTCATAGTTGTAGATAAACAGCATTTTAATGTATGTATATGAAGACTTTTATTTCATTTCCTGAAATATGAATGTGTCCAGTTTCACTCTAAGAATAATTCAGCAGATGTCCAACTGGTGTCATATTCTCCTAGGGTCCGCTAGTAAAACATGAAGTTAAAATTCATAGTTAGTATTCATGCCTCTAATCCTTGGAAATACCTTTTTGTTTATTGACAGCCAAGACCAAATATGCTAGAAGATAGAATATGTGTAATTCAGCAATTTTATTGACATTTACTCAAATTCTGTTGTTTTTAAAGATCAAGTCAAAGTCTACACGGGCTCCCAAACTTAGCACAGCACTCGGGAAGAGCTTAAACAAAATGATTAGATAAGCACAGATAAGCACAACTACTTCATATAAGGCTTTTAGGCTTTTTCTTGCTGTTAAACTTACAGTTCCAAATTCCAAAGATTAATTTCTTGCCAGCCCCGCCCCTGGAGCACGCTGAGACAGCAATTGAGACTGGACGTGGTGGCATGTGCCTGTAATCCCAGCTCTTGGGAGGCTGTAAGCAGGTGGATCATTATGAGTCCGATCTAGTAGTGAGACCCTGAACACCCTGTAGACCTTTCCCTAAAATAAAGATTAATTTCTATTTTTTAATTTCACTTCTACAGTGATGTCTATAAAGTTTTTAACATATCACAGTACAGGAGATTGCAGCTAAGTCTATCATCAAGGTTAATATACTCAATGTAACAACTTAATTCCGAGAAATCTTCCTTTTCTTACAGAGTCATTTGGTACCAATCATTTCAAAAGCTGGCTGCTGTTTGCTAGACTTTGCATCCAGAAACCAAAAGCTGAGATCATTCTTGGATCTGATTTACATTTTAAGTAATACCTACAATACAAAGCCTCCTTCAAGAAGAGTCTCTGAATTAGTTCCTAAGTCCGCTCTCTGGATGAAGTCATACTGCAAATGTTTTGTTTCCCACCTCCTAGATGTGCTCGGGTCTCCTTTTCTCCCTGTGACTCCCCCATTTCTTTTCCTTCTCTCCAGCCTCTACCCATCAATCTTCAGCTCAGAGAAATCAGGGTTGATGTCTACATGGGGAAGGTATAGGAGGAGGGTCACCTGAGGAAAGCAAATGGGTAGTTTCCCAAGAGAATGAGTAGGGTGAAATGGCCAACTGTTCCAAAAATCATTGCTTCTTGACAATGGAATGTTTCATACAAACATTTGGAGTATCGTCCATGTTGATGCAAACTTTAGAATGTGATCGTACCTCCTTATGTCCATCAAGGCAAATTTAGCTGCTGTCCATATGGAGGAAACCTACTAAAGTATTGTTAGTTCAATTGGTCACCAACAGATTCATGAAAGTCCATTATGTATTTGGAGTGTTTTGGGGTTCCAATCACAAATTAGATCTGCAAAGGAAACATAGGCCTATAAATAAGACCAGAGAAAGACATTCTAGGGCTGGCAAGACAGCTTAGTGGACTAAGCACCTGCTTAGGCAAGTTCAGTGGCTGGACTTCGATCCCTGGCACCACATGCTGCAGTAGCCCCACCCCCAGGGTGGGCTGAGCTGACCACCAACACTGGGTGTGGTGGTGCAGGTCTGTAATCCCAGAGCTTGGGAGGCTGAACACAGGAGGATCACTATGAGTCCAAGCTGCATAGTGAGGCCCTGTACCAAATACATAAAAAAATGAAAAAAACAGAGAAAAATATTCTAGGTGGATAAACAGAAAGAACAAAGATATTCCCAAAAATCCCTAAGGTGAATATAAAGAATACAGAAAATAAATTCAAGTAATTCTGTTGACAACTACAAGGTAAAGTGACAGGAAAGGAAAGGAACCTGTGGCAGAATAACTGGTAGCAGCTTAGGTTGGATACACACCTTTCACGATCTGCCCATATGGCCAGCAAAGGAGTTTCGCCTTTCACATTCAGGAGGGAAGCCACAGGGACTCTCAGTATCACAAAGGGCTGGACAGAAAGTGAGAAGACCCTCAGTGTACTGACAAGGCAAGATGTTCTTACAGAATAATTCTCTGATTCTGCATTTTGGAAAATGGCAAACTACAGCAAGATTCAGGGCCAAAATGTAAACTATAGATGGGACTCCTCTGAGTTTGGGAGGGGAGACAACAAATACAAATGAGACCTCTGAGGCAGGAAAGGGTGGCGCCCCCTGTGGTTGTGCAGGCTGTGTCTGACAGTGTCAGGGAGGCGCTATCCACATGCGTTCAAGGGCCCCCGATCATTCGAGAGGCACAGACTAAAGCAGCACTGAGATCCCATCTCACCCAGAAAGAAAGGCTATCATGAAGGAGTCAACCAGTTATAAATGCGGGACAGGCTGTGGGGAAGTGAACCCTTCTCCACTGTTGGTGGCAGTGCAGGCTGGTACATCCACTGCAGAAATCAGTGTGGCAATTCCTCA